GGTTTAGGGGTTTAGGGGTTTAGGGATTTAGGGGCTTAGGGTTTAGGGCCTAGGTTTTAAGGCATCTTGACAGACCCAAAACCTTTGAAGCAGACGAAGGAAGCAACAAGCCACTCACTGCTTGCTGTCAAGCTTCTTCGGCACGTCCCCGTCGTGTTTATGTTTTTTTTAGATTTTTTGGCTTTTTAGAGTTTTTGATTTTCGGCGCAGCAGAGATCTACAGATGAAAATCTAGTCAAGGCGTGCCAGGCCCCCTTGCATCTAATTCCCAGGTCTGTATTTCTGTATTCAGCAACCTCCCGGAAATGGAGCTACAAATCGCTGCCTGGGATTCCGGCATTATGCATTTTTGAATCGCTTTTGCACTCAAAGCCTAAGCCCTATAAAACCCAAAGCGTTTCTCCCCCTTGGGGACCCAGCACGCCCAAAGCCTTTGAGAGAGTCTAGAATGTGGCTGGCCAGTCTTCTGTGGCCGCAGACGCAGAGCCAGAACGGCTAGCGAGGACATAATATTAATCCATTATTCCACCTTGGTACCACCATCATTGGATCATGACCTATGGCCGAAAAAGCCTAGCTTTTCGAGGATATGAAGATTGGAACTCCTTATAAGCATGCCAAAGCGGGGTGGGGTATTCAGGGACACAGATATGGGCTACTATAGACTATAATATCTAGTGTCAAACTTGCTGTCAGTATCCTACGAGGCTCAGTAGAGTGATGGGTAGATGGGTATCGCGGAGATCTCTCTAAAGGTGGCGCGCGCCTATCCTGTGCAACAGCACCCTGCACCGTGTAGCATGGTACGGTATTTCTCGACATCTTAACCTCGAGGACGGCAAAACGGCAAAACCCTAAACTCTAAACCCTAAACCTTGCCAGAACCTCGAGCTGGCCCGATCCTCTTCAGATCCAAGTCTGAAAACCCAAAGTGTGGCTGGAACGTCTCTCTGCAAGGAAAGTAAGAGCATCAACATCGACCTTCGGTGCCCCATTCTTGACATAAAAGGAGATGTTACACCTGACTTGGTCGTCCTCAACAAGCTAGAGCGAACTTGAAACCCCTCAGACCCTACATGTGCCAAGAGCCGCACAAAGGAGGCCATGTGGCGATACTCCAGGCCTCAAGGCCAAGAATGACGGAATAAGCAGTGGCAAGTGCCGTCGCGGTAGACGTCCTCTTCATCATCAGGACTCACACTATCATCACGCCATGATCATTGAGTCATCATCCATCATCATCATCATCATCATCCTGTTGGAGCGATTAAGAAAGACTTACGAGCACATCGGAGAAGCTAAAATCGTCCAAACACCTTCAATGTGTCTCCATCAAGCTCGTCTGGAACTAGCTTCGCGATACGCACCCAACTGATTGTTCAACCACGTCACCACCACGGCTACCTCGCATCTAGGAGCTTTGCCTAGACCCTGGATCCCAGCATTGAAGAGTTGCTCTGAATCTGCTAGCGGTAAGACTGAGGAAGGGGCGGCACCATTCCCCGAGCCCTTCTTCCAAATGCTCAACCTCGGAGAGCTTCCACTGATTCTCCCTCCTTCCGGCAATGACTACGACCACTACCATGCGCAGTTCTACAGCCACATCGCACGTCAATGTAACAGCAATCACCACGACGACGACGACAACGGCAGGACGACGACGACGCCGCGAGCGTTGGCGACAGTAGGCTGCTGCTGCGGCTGCTGCTTATGCATCAGTTGTAATCGTCAACCTTGCGAGCATTGACTGACCACGTGTCGCCTGGCTGTTGTGAAAACACAACAGGGCGTGCAACGTCTTTGACGAGAAAGTCACCCAACACCACCCCCAAAACTTTTGGTTCCAGGCAATGTAGAAAGGCCCACCCTGGCTCAGCGATCATGAGAGAGCTGGTTTGGGGGCGGAAACTCAAGCCCACTTGAAGCCCAGGGTCACAGCTCACTGCCCGAAGATCCATGCAGAAAGCTCAATCCCCGGTGGAAAATTCAAAGTTGCAGGCACACAGCAATGCTCTGACACAGCCAGGCTGACTTTCATTCTTCTCTTCGCAGCAGCCATTGCTGCTTTCAAGACCTACTTGTTCACGTAATCTGTTGTCTTTCGTGATGTGGGCTAGCTAAGGCAACACAGTGTCGAACAAACGTGCGATCCGAAAAAAACATGAGCGTAGTTGCCTCCCACATGACTCAGCCTTCAAGCCTAAACACTATGGACTGAGCTCTCTCACGTATGCGACGGTTAGCAACAGCGAGCCAAGCTATCAAAGCCATGCACTCAGTTGTCTCATGGAGCTCAACCCCGTTGGAAACCACACCGCCTCAACCTTCAATCTCCCCATGGCCAATTTGAATGTGCCTGGGCTGTGACTGCGTAAGCCCAGGCAACGCATCAGCCCAAGCTGCTACTGCTACGATTACCATTACCATTCCACCTTCCTGCGTGCTTCGGTTTACTCCTCTCCTATCATATTGCTGTTGGGCTTCACTAGTCTCTTCTCTCCATTCCCAAACCCTCACCACTTTTGTCCGCCCGGAAAATGAGCAAAGCCCTATGACCCATCTCTGCCGGGTCTGAAGTCCCCTGCTTGAAGCAAGCACCCCACGCAGAGGAGTTTCTACGAGACGGCCGTGTTGAAGGTTGGTGGTCTTCGGGTTACCCTAAGGGTCTTAATAGTTTAGGGTTTAGGCGTTAGGTTACTCCAAAGGTCCTTAATGGTTAGAACAAGGTTACGATTCATTTTTCCATGTTCTAGGGTAGCTGTAACAAGCAGCCCTAAGGCCTTAAGGAATAATATGGGCTCCTGTAGTACGTAGGCCTTCTCAGGGCTGACAGGGTTTCCTTAGGGTTTCGGGATTGGGGTCCGGGCAGGGCTCGGAGGGCTCTAAGGGAGCCGGAGTTCTTGCACCGCAGTGTATGTAATGTTTTTCAAGTTCAGGGTTTAGGGTTCCCCGGCTAGCTTAAAGGGAGTGCTAGCTTAGAACACACCCCCAAACTAAGGCAGGGTCTCGCTCTTTCCGTCGCAGCACATACCACATTGGCAGTTACGTTGAGGCACACGTGCAGAACGAATTGGTAACTCTGGGAAATAGGCATTGGAAATTAAAGCATCTGTGGTCTCTACACTCTACACATTCAACTGCATGCGCATCTGCTCTCGGTGCAGCATGCGCTACAGAATTATTCTGAATTTTGGCTTGTCACACGAACGGTTGCATTTTGCATCCTTGCTGCCGCTAGGTCTAGGTATGAGAAGGAGTTGCAACAACCTGACAAGATGAAAACAGTTCTCCCCATGACGCCATTGAGGACTTACTGCTGACTATGCCATCCGCTATTATCTCGCTGTAGCGGCAGGCAGCTCCAGGAATCTCATCCAAGAGTTCACTGGAAATCCTCGCAGGTTAGGCGGACCTGTTGGGGTCGGCACCTTGAGGTCAGGCAGGTTGAGGATAGGTTTTAGTGGGAATGATCGCGAGGTGTTGGATGCGTGAAACGGCCGGTGGTTGCCCAACGGTGTTTCTCTCAGTGCCGATACTACCAGTAGCCACATATGCAGTGAAGCCACCAGTGCATATCGTGGCGGCACAGTGCTTGTAGCCCCCTGTGACCATTCTGAACTTGGTGGCGGTGCTGAGCAAATATGCAGTTTAGGTACATGATGGGTGATCGTCATGACGACGGCGATTGTGTTGAAAGATGACTATCAGAAAGTGTCGTTGTCTGCTTATCAGAACTCGGTGGAAATCGTGCTAGTCACAACTATCGTCGCTTCCAAAGCATGGCGATGCCTTCCATAGGTATAGCTGAAACTGACGCTCCGCCTACTCAGTTTCTACCCTTCTGCGATGTCCCACTCTCATCATACATGTGTGTTGAACGCATCTTTGGGCAACGTAAGGCCCTCGCACAACATTGGCCTTTGGCGCCTGGGAATCGGCACATTCTGGACATGTAGGCAGACACAAAGGGCCTGCACACACACACACACACACA